CATGCCCTATTCGCCCAAGGCACCAACAGAATTTGTTGCTTGCGGGTAGCGTGAACGGGGAAAATGAAAAAATTCTCGTTGATACGGGTGCAACTGTGTCCCTCTGTGATGAAAAGTGGGTCGCAACATGTATGATCCTTGTTGAAGGACCGTCTTGCCCCATTCGTCTTGGTGATGACAGCATCATCCCAAGCAGAGGGCGGACACGGATCAACATGTAGATTGGGGGATATCGCGAAGAAATTTGCGCATATGTTTAACCCCTTCTTGCAGGCGTCGACCTTGTCCTTGGAATGGATTCGCTTCGAGCGAATGAATTCAAACTCGATTTTCAGGATAATACGGTCTTATTCTCGAAAAATGGTGACACTGTCCAATGTCAAGTACCTAAGGGCCTGATCACAAATGACCAACCCATGTTGGAACGCCTTGACTTGAGTTTTGCGCTTGCAAATGAGTTCGGACAGCATGTCCGACAAGTTGATACATTCTTTGTGGTACAGCTTGAGAATGCTAAACACGAATAGCATGGGGTCGAGGAATTTCTGCCCCAGATGAAAGCACTGGCAGACGAGTTTGCAGAGGTTTTTGAGCCCATCCTAGATGGCCTTCCTCCGGACCGTGCTGTGGGTCACATCATCCCGGTGGAGCCTGGAAAACTCCCACCATTTAGAGCTCTGTATTGCCTCAGTCCAGCAGAGTACGAGGAAGCTAAACAACAAATTGAGGAGTACCTCAGGAAGGGATGGATTGAGCCAAGCGCATCACCTTACGGAGCGCGGATCTTGTTCGTGAACAACAAGAATGGAGGATTACGCATGTGCGTAGACTACCGTTCTTTGAACAAGATAACAGTAAAGAACAGGTATCCCCTACCAAAGATAGAGAACCTGTTTGACAAACTCCAAGGTGCTCAATGGTTTAGCGCACTAAACCTCGCACAGGGGTATTATCAAATGCGCATCACCGATGAAGATTACCCAAAATGGCTTTTCGTTCACCGTTTGGTCATTTTCAGTGGCGAGTGCTGAGCTTTGGCTTGACCAATGCTCCTGCCTCTTTTCAGAGGGCCATGAACAATGTCTTTCGCGAGGCAATTGGACAGTTATTTCAGGTCTATCTGGATGATATATTGGTTTATTTTAAGACAGAATAGGAGCACACACGACACCTTAAGTGGGTGTTAGGGAAACTACGAGAGCATAAAATTTATGCTCGTCTGTGAAAATGTCATTTGTACAAACACAAGTCAAAATATCTTAACCATCTCGTCAAACATAACGGTCTCAAAGTAGACCCAAAGAAAGTTGTTGCAGTCTAGAATTGGCCGGTGCCACAAGATGTGGGTCAAATCAGGTCGTTTTTTGGGCTGGCAAATTGTTTTCTTCAATTATTGCAGAATTATTCTACCATTGTTGCTCCATTGACGGCCCTCACTTGTAAGAGTAGCGCTTGGCAATGGACACATCAATGTCAAAAGACATTCGACGAGGTCAAGCGAATGCTGACCAACGCTCCGGTACTGGTTTTACCAGATCCGACGAAACCCTATGAGGTCGTTACCGACGCCTTATTGATAGGGATTGGGGCTGCCCTCTTGAAATAGGGGAGACCAGTGGCATTTGAGAGTCGAAAGCTCTCCCCGGCAGAGCAGCGCTATACGACGTCCGAACAGGAACTGTTGGCGGTTGTTCATGCACTACAAACATGGCGATGTTATCTGGAGGGTGTGGACTTTTTGGTTACAACCAACCACTGTCCAAACACCAACTTCTCCACCCAAGCCACGCTTACTTGACGTCAAGCCCGATGGGCGGAACTCCTTAGCAGGTTCAGTTTCGATATTCGATATCGAGCAGGTTCGACGAACCTGGCTGACCCCCTCAGCAGACAGCCGATAGGGGCAGCAACACGGCTAGATGACACAGAGGATGCAACGGCATTCTTTGCTTGCTTCAGTGTCCTAGCAACGGCTCGAGTGAGTGAGATTACCTTCAGTGGTTTTCTGAAACGCATCCGCACAGGTATCAATTTGACTCCTGGTTGCAGAACCCACAGAACACGAAGGAACTCAAGTGGGAGCATGAGCTCTGGTGACGTAAGAATGAAATTGTTGTACCTCACGTGGGTAACCTGCGGATTGACATTCTGAAAGAAGTGCATGCCACTAAGTACGGAGGACACCTAGGGGTCAAGAAGACCAGGTGGGCCTTGAGTGATGTGTACTGGTGGCCGGGATTAGGCACTGAGGTCCAGCAATTCGTAGCGCGCTGCGATGCATGAGCACGAAATAAAACGGACACAAAGAAGCCTGGTGGTCTGCTTGAACCACTCGAAATCCCAAATGAACCTTAGGAGAGCGTATCCTTGGATTTTATCACGGATCTCCCCAAGACTCGTGATGGCCATACAGTGATCCTAGTGTTTGTGGATCGTCTAATAAAAATGGTACATTTCGTGGCTACGACAACCAGGGGTTTTTTTTTTTTTTGTTTCCACTACTTGGATTTTCAGAGCTGTTTTCTAGGGAACTCTGAAATTTAGGGTTCATTTTGAGCGTTACTTTGATTTGTAAGAGAAAACTTTACTTCTGAAAAATATACTCTGCGTAGTCAGTGTACCTATTTTTCCAACTCTAAGTGTCCTGTCAAGTACTGAACCCAGGCCTTCTGCACTCCTACCAAAATTGTAGTCATTGCGCTACCCGCTTATGGCATGAATGGTGACGCGCATTTAACAAACATGTCTGCTTGCCTCCCACCAATTCCAAGGGGGGCACTGTCAAAATGACTATACCCTGAACAGAGAAAAATACATTCTTCACAAGTATACACAGGTCTATCAGAGTAGCTTAAATCAAAACCCTGACAAATCAGAGAAAACTTATCATCCAAAAAAAATTACCCAGACACGTCAGAGTGACCCCCTGAAAGCCACTCTGATTTTCAGAGAAACAGAGTAGTTTACTCTGATAAAAAAAACCCCTGACGTTAACTGACGTATCTGCGGAAGACATCGCCAAATTGTTTGTGGCGCACGTTTTCCGCTTACATGGATTACACGTGTCTTGGTGTCCGACCAAGATCCGCGCTTCACAAGCCGGTTCTGGCAAGAAGTTACTCGGACACTTGGAACGAAGCTTAAGTTGTCAGACGAAACGAACAATTTGAACACTTGAGCAGATGCTTCGTTTATTCATTGGCCCAACTCGAGATGATTGGGACGAGTTGTTACCTGTTGTTGAGTTCGCAGTGAACAATTCAGTTCACGAGGGTACACGTGAGAAACCTTTCATTCTGAACTATGGTCGGCATCCCACAACACCTGCTATGCATGGGATCGGTGGATTGAAAATTCCACCTGCGAAAGGCTTTGTTGGCAAGCAGCAAGAAGTTCTTAAGTCTGCTCGTCATAAGCTGCAACTCTCCCAGCAGCGACAAAATTCTTATGCCGACATGAAACGCCGGGAAGTCTCATTTAAGGTCAAAGACAAAGTTTTGTTGAGCACGAAAAACATTCGTCTCAAAATCCATGAAGTTGTTCCCTCGATGGATTGGGCCTTTCGAGGTGATCAAGCGTGTTGGTGTGGTAGCTTACAAGCTTAAGCTACCTCATACATTACAAATTCACAACGTCTCCCATGTGTCTCTATTGAACAAGTACGTTGCAGAGGGCAAGTACTTGCCGCCACCAACGATCGTCCTGGGGGAGGAACTATTCTATGAAGTCGAACGAGTGCTGATGCATCGTGATCGACAACGAGGCCGCAAGACAGTACGAGAGTTCCTCATCAAGTGGAAAGGCTACGGGCCTGATCACAACTCATGGGAACCAGAAAAGCATTTGACTGAAACTGAAGTTCAGTCATACATGGCTAATCTGGCCCGACGAGCTGCAGCACAGCCAGTAAATGGTGTTGTCCCTGGTCGTAATGTGACTCGGCGTGCTCAAAGCGCTCATCCTCAGAAGCACCCTAACGCAACGCGGACGTTGCGACCTAGGGGGGGAGGAGTGTAACGCATACCTACGTTACTCACTATTGTGCAACTATATTGACCTACTTCTAAGTCGAAAAACCTTCTCGACGGAAGGATGAGAGAGATGGGGTAGGGTTGAGGAGGTGTGGAATATGAAATGTTGGTTTGGTTTTCCCCAAGCCTCAACCTTGAGGTTTGGAAACATTCCAACCCATCAAAGTGGGGATTGAATGGTTGGATTTCCAACCAATCAAAACCTTCTAGTTATTGTTACAATCCACACAAATCTTAAGACAACAATACAATTGTGCTAAGTTGGGTTTTCCCCAACCAAACCAATATGCCACCTAGGCTCCAAGTCTAATAGCTCCCAAACCTTGGAAGCCATGGTTGGGAAGAGCCCCAAGGGGTATTGTGGAAGGGGTTGGAGCTTTCAAGCTCATTCCCACTTCCCAACTCCAACTTACCACTTTGGAAATGGGATTTTCTCTAAGTCTTTGATTCTCCACACAACTAGAGTTGTGTTTACTTCAAGAACAAACTCTACAAGAAGCTACATGCCTACTAGCTAAAGCTTCACCAACCTTCTTCAAGCTCTCTTTCTCCTCTCAAGCTTCAAGGGTTTTAACAAGGATAGTTTATCACTTCGTGGAACTAGTTTAATCTTGGAAGCCTTGTATCTTGATTTTATATAAATTGTTAAGAAGGATTTATATTAAACACACGGTTGACTGTTGTTATAAGGGCCGTGGTTATTACACCCTCACTCCCGCCGTCGCCTCGCTTCACCCCCTACCGTCGCCTCTCCCTCCCTCCCCGCCATCGCTCTCCCTCCTCCTCGTCGCCTCTCCTTCCCGCCGTCGCCTTTGGTGGATTGCTGCACGACCACGCGTTGTTTTCTTAGGCACGGTTGTCTCTCCGAAATGTTCTATTATTTCATCTCTCAATGCCGATTGGACTCCTCTTAGCATTAAGCCTCCATTTTAAAAAGGGGAGAGAGGGAGTGTGAGGGAGTGTGTGCGCATGGGAGCGAGCACGCAGGCGCGTAGAGTGTTGGCGCCTAGCGGGCTGGCGCCAAACGCGCTAGCGCTTAGAGTGCTGGCGCCTAGCACACTGGCGCCTAACGCGCAGGCGCCTAGAGCGCTGCCGTCTAACGCGCTAGCACCTAGCGCGCTGGCGCTTGCTGCGCTGGTGCTTAACGCGCTGGCGCTTGCTGCGCTGGCACTTAACACGCTAGCGCCTAGCGCGCTGGCGCTTGCTGCGCTGGCGTCAAACGCTCTGGCGCCTAGCGCGCAGGCGCCTAACGTGCTGGAGCCAAATGCGCAGGCGCCAAACGCGCTGGCGCCTAGTGCGCTGGCACCTAATACGCAGGCCCATAGCGCGCTGGTGCCTAACGCACTGGCGCCTTACGCGCTGGCACCTGACGCGCTGGCGCCTAATGCGCTAGCGCCCTACGCGCAGGCACCTAACGCGCTGGCGCCTTACACGCTGGCGCCTAACGCACTGGCGCCTTACGCGCTGGCGCCTTACGCGTTGGCGCCTTGCAGGTGCCCTCGCAGCGCGCTGGCACCTTGTAGCGTGCTGGCGGCTTGTGGGCTGCAGCCTTGTTTGCGGCGCTGGCAAATTTCTGCAGGAGCCTTGTTGCGGCAGCGTGCTGGTAAATTATTGCGCACGCTCACGCGTTGCTGCAGTGAGCTCACGCCTTGCTGCAGTGAGCTCGCGCATTGCTGCAATGAGCTCACGCCTTGCTGCAGTGAGCTCACACGTTGCTACAATAAGCTCGAGCCTTGCTGCAGTGAGCTCACGCCTTGCTGCAGTCAGCTCACGCGTTGCTGCAAAGAGCTCACGCCTTGCTGCCGTGTGCTCAGGCCTTGCTACGGCAGCCCGCTTTCTCTTCTCAGCCTGCCGGTGCCTTGCTGCAACTCTCTGGCGCCTTGTAGCATGGCGATGCGCAGCTCGTTGCTCGCTGGTGCCTTGCTGCACATCCGCGCGGTGTGTGTGACCTCAGGGGATCTATGTTTTAAACCACACCTGTGAGTCGTCAAATCCGGTTTCTTTCGTTGCAAGACTTGCATTTTATTTCTGCTTTGTATCAATGTTCATCGGTACCTTAGGTATTTTGGCTTCACATATGGGAATCTCATTTGAGAGTACTTTTATTCACTATTTGAGTCATCCGTTTGAACCCAGTTTCAAACATTCAGACGTTTGCTTCAAAAAGTGCGTAAAATATCACTTCTCAAAAGATATCCCAAAAATGTCAAACCAAATATATAGGGTTGCTACAAAACGCAAAAACCGAGGAGACAAAATATTTAATGAATACACAATTCATTACTGTAGAGGCTGCTCCTAGCGAGGACAGCCCGAGCACTTCGCGTCAGGATGGCTCGGCCTACACTTTCGCACCGAACCAATTCCGAGTCGCCCCGCACCAATCGCGACATTTCCGAGCCACGCACACCTAGAGGTTCTCGCCTAGCTAGTTTCGTCTTATATATTATCGCATTCTTCATTGTTTCCTGATTCTATAGAAGTATTCCGCGCACTCTGTCTAGTAAAACTCATAACACTTGGTATAAGAGCTACTTTCCTAGCTTCCCTGTTTTCTAGAGTGTATTACCCCTCGACGGGGGGGACAGGGAAGGATGCCGTGGTGACAGGAGCAGCGCAATTGCGGGCTAGGAGAACAGATAGTTGCTCCTAGCAGCCATGGATTTTACGGGCGCTCTTGCTGCACCGACGGATCATTTCCCTCGACGGTCAAGATAGACTGGTGGTAACCTGTCGAAACATTAGGCGAAAATCAGAAACAGGAAAGGGGTTTTCACTAGCAGGCAGTTGAGTACATATAGCAAACCCTAATTCGGGCTGTACTCACTATAGAGTACCCCACTGCAGGCTAGACAAATATCACATTCTGACACACCCCCATAGTCAAAGTGGGGTATAATCAGCACAGCAAGCAGTCATAGAGCAGGTTCGCAAATACAAGCAAAGCTAGAGGTAGGTGATCACAGAGGGCAAATGAGGAGGAGGAGAGACTGTGAGAGGAGTGGAGATAGAAGGCGACGGGTGAAGCCGCAGACACACGGGCAACAGGAACGGCGCGCACGATGGCTACCACACCACTCAACCTCTGGACTACAGGAGTAACTTGCTTCGCGCTAAGCTGCAGGAGCAACGGACCCACGGGCGACTAGCACAGCAGGCTCGCTGGGTACCAGAGTACTCAACCCCCGGACTACTGGCGCTGCTGACGTCACAACGGCTACCTCCGGTCAACCTCCCCCAACTGTCCCACACCCCTTTCACACACCCCCTGCAGTTCCCCTAGCACTGCTCACACGCCACCCCCCTCGTACCACTCCGACGGCTCCAACACATCCAACCCCCTCAGCGGCAGCTGCAGCAGTGGGAGACGGAGGAGGAGGAGGAGCAGGGGACGGCGCACACACCCGTCACCCCCATACTCGCCACCCCCAAACCTTAAAACATGCAGCACGGAGCAGGAGTGCGTGCAGCAGGGGGGGTGGTGCTCGTGCTGAAGCGGGACGGCGCGCGGCTCTTGCGCAGGCTGTACGGGCCGCGCGCGGGCCTGGCGCAGGCCGTACGGGCCGCGCGCGGGCTGTACGGGCCGCGCACGGGCCTAGCACAGACCGTACAAGCCGCGCGCGGGCTGTACCGGCCGCGCGCGGTTTGTACGGGCCGCGCGCGGGCCTGGCGCAGGCCGTACGGGCCGCGCGCGGGCTGTACGGGCCGCGCGCGGGCCTGGCGCAGGTCGCGCGGGCCGCGTCGGGCGACGGGGGGCGACACGCGGGTCCTCGGGGGCGCCGCGACGGGGGGGGGGGGGGGCAACGCGCGGATCGACGGGGCAGAAACCCGCCGCGCGCCTCGGGGCGCACAGCGGGCAGAAATCCCGCCGCACGCCTCGAGCGCTCGGCGGGCAGAAAACCGCCATGCGCCCGGAGCACGTGGTGGGAAGGAAAAACGTCGCGCGCCACGGGGAGCGCGACAGACACGACAGCAGCGGAAGCAGGCGGGCCCACAGGCCAGGAGCGTAACCGCTCTGATAGCATGTCGGAACACTAGGCAAAAATCAGAAATAGGAAAGAGGGGTTTTCACTAGCAGGCAGTTGAGTACATACAGCAAACCCTAATTCAGGCTGTACTCGCTATAGAGTACCCTACTGCAGGCTAGACAAACATCACATTTTGACACCTCCCTCCCCCCGGGTGGCGGACAGCATTTGCTGTCGTCGCATTTAATGCCAAATTTACGGTAACAGTTCTGATTTTTGTCACTTTCGGAGTTGATTCTGCATAGCGGCTGACGTCGGCAGGATCGTCGTCGGTGCAATGTCCGTAATTGACGGAGGAAGGCATTGTGCGAGCTGCATCGGCACATGGTCGACAAATGCGCGCGACAATTTCGGAGCTAGCTGCGTGCAGCAAATGGCGATGGGCGTCTTTGTCACGTTGCGCACGAGCTGGTGGTGCGGAGAATTCTATTCTACGAAAGAGCTGAACTTGCATGGGACGCACGGTCAGAGTTCTGGCAGTGATTCTTAATAGAGAGTTGGAATGCCTTGGTAGAATTCAAGCATAGATTCACTATGAAAAGTTTATAGTACAAGATTATGGTACAAGCAAGAAGAACCCAATAGAATGGACAATGATCCCTAGAGAAACGTTATGCGGAAAATACCGAGTCAGCAACGGTAGGTGAAACGACAAGCACATGTGCCTTTCACTTGAGTTGGCAGTTTCTCAGCTTTCAGAGTTGTTTATGTTTTTTACAGTTAGTAAATACGTGTTTCAGGTTCAATTCCCTTACTGATTCGAAATCTCCTGGGGAGTACAATTTCCGAAATGCTCTGATTGGCCGAAACACGAAGTTTCCCGATAGGTCGAAATTCGCGCACATTACGAATTTTGGAGGCAAGTAATTTTGTCGACCGGAAACGCTCTGCTCGACGGTGCCTGTTTCGAGCTTAATTCTGTCGACCAGCGTTTCGTCGAAACGCTGTTTTCTACCATTTCGTCGACCCGCAACGCTCGATTTCGACGCGGTTTTGCTCCTCTCGTCCAGTGCCTCGTCGAGGGGCAGTTGCGTAGAGCAGAAACAACACTTCAATTTCGACGAATTAATCTCGTCAGAAATCGACCCGTCGCTCAGAGTCTGATAAAAGTCCCTGAAGTCGCCGATGACCAGAAAACGAGTACGGTTGTGCTTCGAAAATCATGGCCAACTTTGCCCAAGCAAAAGCGGGGCCTTTTCTCCTCGACACTCCCCTGCCCAGCTCACGCTTGGGCACCCACGCACAAGGTCCAACAGAACCTAGCTAATTAAATACAACGAGACAATTCTCTTGCGTGCACACCTCTGCACGCCGATCACGGCACCAACCATGTTAGAGGACATGGCACCTACTGCAGCACTTCGGCAACACGGACCAGGCCGACCGCGACAGAGCACCGGTTGAAGGCCGAAAAGTGCAGACAATTTGTGAGAAAGTCTGCCGGCTGCTCGGATGTTGGGATGTATTCATGCAGCCAGGCGTAGTGTCGCTCCATGTGCTTGAGGTTGCCTTCAGCCTTAAGCCTTCAGCGACCGTGATGGCAGACTGGTTGTCCACGTTCAGAGTAGTTGGCGTCCCAGCATCGAGGAGGAATCGAAGTCGACGAGCCTCCTTGGCTGCTTAAGTGGCCGCAATGAACTCTGACTCCGTAGAGGACAGCTGCGCCGCCGAAGGTGAAAACGTAGCCACTTGTGCTAGTGTGACTCTGCTTGTCGCCTGCGTCGTCAGCGTCCGCGTAGCCGAACTCCAGAGCAACATCGCGCGTGTCGTCGAGATAGTTGAGGCAGCGGTCGACCTCACGCCAGTGCTGGTCGCTCCTCACCATCAGACCTGACCCCAACTTGCTGCACGCAAGAGCGATGTCGGGCCAAGTTGTCGTGGCGGCGAACTACAGAGAACCGACCTTCTAACGGTACTCCTCTTCTTCGCGTGACTGGAAGTCCGCTTCATCGAAATTCAGCTCCGCGTAAGCGTCGACGGAAACAGGCGTCTTCGGACGCCGACCAGTCTGCTCCTCGTCGATGAAGCGCCTACGCAGCTTGTCGACATAGGACTGCTGGTGCAGCCACTACGGAGAGTCACTCTACAACGGTAGTGAGCTAGACTATGAGGATAGGCACGAACTACTATGAGTGATCGTAGCTTTGCTTGGTTCCTTAGCACTTGCACATTCACGGGAGAGATTGGCAAGAGTTTCCACTAGCAAAGTTGGAATTACAGAATAATTGAACAAGCAATGACAGAATGACTACATCAGGCACCTAGCAACTCTGCAGCTAGCCTGGTCGACCGCCAGCACTGCATGGTCGACCGCCTGCCAGCGTTGCGTAGAGGAGCCGCGCCAGCACTGCAGAAGAGCGACCTGCCAACACTGCAGGTCGACGGCGTGCCAACGCTGCAGCTGTGCGGCTGTCCAGCGTTGCCACGTAGAAGACAGCAATACGCATGCTCGCAGGTGCGCGCAGACGATTGGCCCGACTTGCATTGCTGTGCATCCGTCGGCTATTGTCTGCGACTGACGAGCCACATCGACTTCGGGATACCAGCCCGCAGTCGCCTTCGCCATCGCGATCTCGACGACGTTCGCGTGCCTCCGCAGAACTCATCGAGCAGGTTACCCGGTCAACCTGGTCGACCCCCAGGTGCTCTGGTCGATCAACAGGTTTTTTTGGTCGACCACCAGGTGCCTCTGGTCGACCACAGCTCCCGTCGAGCTACCCCCTGGTCGACGGACCCCTTCCGTCGACCAGAACTGCTCTGTCGACCTCCTGGTCGAACTGCAGTTCGACGGGATGCTCCGTCGACCTCCCGATTGAGCTGCAGTTCGACGGGATGCTCCGTAGACCTCCCAGTCGAGCTACAGTTCGACGGGATGCTCCGTAGACCTTCAGGTCGAGCTGCAGTTTGACGGGATGCTCCATCGCCCTCCCGGTCGAACTGCCCCTCCTGGTCGAC